ACAAAAACATACTTATCTTAGTTTTTACAATTCATCAGTTTAGTTTATAAAATCGGAATGGAATTGATTGCATAGTTCCATAACACTATAATCTTTTATTTTGATCTAAAACTGGAAAAAACTTTTGAAAAAATTAGTTCAAATTTTGGATATAACTGACTTTACCACAAAATATGACTGGTTGACGGTCGACAGTAAAGTCACACACTACTTATCCTACTAATTATTCTTTTATTCACAAAAAATATCAACCTGAATATATCGATATACTGGTATTTTTTAGCGACTTAGACCTATAAAATGTTTCATATAGACTTATCCAGCTGGTTTATATCTAAAAACCTAGGTTGAAATGTCGACCCGATATATTTGGTTGTTCATATATTTAGAAAAATATGCTCTAACCACAACTAGTAAATTGATCTGTTTATTTTGTTAAAAAAGTCTGAGCTTATATGGTAAAGAAGTCATGAAAACCAACATGTAGTATGGTTGTCCCAGCATAATGTATCGAGTTAGAATACTTTTACCTGAGATTTTGTAAATGCGGTTTCAGAGAATATTTCGTGGTAGAGATTCGCGTGAACCTTGGCAATTTCGTCCTTTTATTAGTGATAATTTTGATTTATGATTAATGATGATTTTAAGATTTTGGTTGTTTATCATAATAATAAATTTTTAATGGGAAAAGGAAAATAAATTGTTATAAATACAAATCTTATAATTTGGATTCATGTATGGCTCAATACGACTATTGTCTGATTATACTAATGTCACTAATACAACTCTTACAATCTTTGATTTTTTGCAAGACCGATTTGATAGAAATGAAACAAGTATCTAAAATTATTAACATTACACAAATAATTTCGAAGCTAATAAAATGAATATCAATACTGCTGACGTCATTAAACAACAAAAATTTTTTGGTTTGTCATGTTTATATTTTAATATTTTCTGGCTTACTATACGAATTTGGTTGTAGATAATTAGCTACAAACAATATTTCCATCAGATTGATTTTTATATTTCAACTTGCCTCTATCATCAACAATTTTTACATATTTTTAATAATCTAACAGATATTATTAATGTGCATTCGTTTATTTTTTATTCATAATCATAGCTGTAATTTTATGTTACTCATCTCTGATTCGTGAAAATATAAACTAACTATATTAATTATCATTATAAATTCACTGAAATATGCTCCAGATATTGCTAATATTATTGATATCAAAAACTATTGTTAAATTTTTGATAATAAGTAATTTGTTGGATGCTGTCCTAATATGTATAAATAAGTAGCAAAACCTTCTTGACGTATTTCTATTTTATTTAGGTAGGTTATAACCATTGCTAGCTATAGAATTTCATACAATTAGTCTATGTTATGTATTGTGTATGAAATGATTTTAGAAACCATTGAATTCAATATATTAAGTATTTTCTTCTTATTTTTTTACTAAACTACGTTGTGTTTGGTATTAGCTCTATATAATAAGGTTATTTCAGAATTTAGCAGTTATAAGAGTTCAGTTTAAAAAATAAAAGTTGTATCACTGCGTCTTCTCTTCTTCCAGCTCTACTTTTAGCAGCGTAGTAGCGGTACCAGAAGTATTAGTTCAGATACTTTTGCAATGGTGTAGATTATGATTTAAACGAATTATTATTTATTTTTAAGTTTCTAAAGGCATTTAGATTAAAACTATGTGATATACAACAAGTGATTATATATTTTACAAATAACAGATTAGAAATTTATTATATGAAAGTGAAAAAGAAAGCAGTAATCCGGTTAAGTTAAAAATGCCCACAAATATTTATGGTAAAATTTTAAACCACTTTTTTGCTTGTTCATTATGAAATACAATTTTTTGAAATTAAAAACAGTTTAATAATTATAATTGAATTTATACCTGAATACAAACAATTAAGCATTTTCATACATATATACGTGTTTAAACTATGAATTGCATCAATAATTATGTCACCGACAATGAATTATAAATTATAAATGAATAAAACAATTTGGCTCATTTGCAGTAAAATGAAAATAATCCATTAATAACTGTTAATTAATTTGACATAAAAAGTGTATCAAGAGTGCAAAAATATTTTCAAATTGCTAAATGCGAGAGGAAAAAATATGATAATTATAACATATATAAAATCAATTTTATGCGGTGACATTGACAACACTTCAACTAATTTCGTATCGACCTCAGGCAAATCTAAATATCTAACAAATAATTCGATATGATCGAAGCCAATCAATGTAAAAGCAAGCCAGTCAAAAATCTGCACACGACTTTAATGTTCACCTCTTCCTAACACCGAACAATGCGCAGAAATTCGCTAATAAAAAGTTCCATTTAATAAAATATAAAAAGCAATTGAAGTAATTCCAAACAAATCTCAAATAAAGATATCAAAATATCTTTGCGATTGTCTGTTGCCGCAGATATGCGAATCCGCTTATGTATCGTTGAGATACGAACAAAATGGTAACACCCGCACCTTTTGAAGGCCACAGAAACGTATGTGTAGATGACGACGCAGATTTTGGACTAGTAGCTCAGCTTCTTTGCGAGCGTATCTGAGCCCAACAACAACAACAGCTGTAAACTCGTCACTTTACGTTTTTGATACACTTGGAACAGCAAATTGGAACGCAGTCTTTTTGTGGTTGTTGTTGTTGTTCAACTCTTTATCGGCACTGGTACCTGCTGCGCTAATTCGTGGCGCACTTGGCCTATTGTTGCCATTGACTTCAGCGTTGGCTTGTGGCCAAAAAAATCCACTTCTTCGCTTTTGATTCATAAATGCTTGCTTTATGTTGTTTTGTTGAGTTGGGAAATAGCGTAAAAATCCAGTACAAACGGATGACCTAACAACAAAAATTGTTTTGATTTTCAAATACGCCCTTTGATGACTAGCAAAATCTGAAAGGCCTAACCCAATTCAGACAGGAAGAGGTCAATTAAAATTCTTTTTGTAAAATGTTTCTTTTAATTTCAAAAAGAAACTATGAACAATTTTTAAATAATAATTTAATTTAATTTAATATTTGGTTTTTGCAAAATAATTTTGTAAATTTTATACGCATGCCTTCTGCTCAAAAAGTATCCGGATTTTGTTGTTTGTTAACTACTCCTTTAGTAATAGACCTTTTAAAAAATTTTTTTTTGTTATGTTGGTACACCCTTTCTTGACATATGGTACAAATTTGAGCGCCATCTGTCAATTAGTTTGTTTACAGCAGCTGTTAATGTGAGACTACCTCAACTGCATTTAGCGATTTTTACTATGAAAAATTCTTGTTGTACGCGATTTTTTGACCAAACACGGCACCACTGTCATCGCTCAGGCACCATATTCGCCAGATCTGGATCCGTGCGACTTTTTCCTGTTTCCGAAGCTCTAATTGCCCCTTCATGGTAAGCGTTTCGAGTCGATTGAATCGGTAAAAGAAAATTCGCTGAAGGAACTAAAAGCCATACCTTCACGGGACTACGAAAAGTGTATGGAAGATTAGGTTAAGCGTTAGCATATGTGTATGGCTTCATATTTTGAATGAGATAAAATAAATTTGGAATAAAATTTAACTTTGTGCGTTTTATTTACAAAATCCGTGTACTTTTTGAGCTGGAGGTATATATAATCACAGAGTATTTTGGATTTATTTCATGTATAAGTGGAAAATGATTTTTTTGGTCTGAAATATAGTCTGAAGAAGCTTTGAAATTGCCGTTTTGTTTTCCAGACTTGCCTGGATCTATAAAAAGATATATCTGAAAAAGAAAACAGTTAGTCAAACAAATCCAATCAAAAACAATATTCTCGTTTATGCTAAATAAGTCGAAAGCACTTTGAATATAATATATTATATGCAAACGTTTCTAGTTTTTTCCTGAACCATCTTAATTCAATAAAGTTTATGACAGTTTAAAATATTTGAATGCTATACTAAAAAATATTTTACCTTACAGAAACTTTTTTAAAAACCAGATTTAAATAATTTAATTATTAATATTTTCTGTTTTTTTCTCCATATTTGATTTCAATTATGGAGCTACCTTTGGAGCACCATATATAATAAAATGATCTTAACATATTAAATAACACCATCATTTTCTGTTATTATTATTTTTATTAAGTAGAGTATACTATGTGCATACCACGATACAGACCGTCGGATATTGTGAATTATATGTGGTCTATATTCTTACATTATATAAATACATATGTATCTATAATAGTATAATTAAAGAACGAGTTTATAATAAATAAGTTTATAATATAATAAATAATAAATAAATAAAGATATTGTAAATTATATATGGTCTATATTCTTACATTGTGTATATATATATAGAAGTATCTATAATTGCATAATTAAAGAACGAGTTTATAATAAATAAGCCTGATCACTGGAAATATTTGAAGTGAAATATCGCCATTTTAATACTTTTCATCAAGCACCCAATCTACGTATGATCTGTGACGCATGATCCACATGATCCGCATGTGATTAACAATGTCACCGACACAGTACTAAAAAACTAAAATCACGAAATGATAAATCTTTTCACATATCTAATTAATATTATATCTCTCTGCATGTGTTATAATAATAATTTATTTTTAATTAATTTATTTATTTTAATTTAATTTGAAATTTGCAAGATTTTTCTCGACTCGTAGAGCTAATCTTCAGTTTTTGGTAAGCCAAGCTATCAGTTCTCAAGCTACATGAATACTGGTTTAAAAGGGACCAATGCTCGGACTTACTTTTCGAGCTACTTTAAAATGTAATATGATTCCTAAGGTACTAAGAGTTCCAATTAGTGTTAATCAGTGATAAATTTTTAACATAAATTATAATAAAATAATCAGGTACATATTTTTTTTTAAATATCATTTATTGCAAAATTGAACTTAAAAAGAAACTAAAACGAATTAACACTTAAAAAACAAACAGCAAAATAATAAATTATTTAATAATCCCAATGGGTACCAAATCCATCGAAGCTCATATGGGATACCATTTCAGCGGGTGAGTAGTGTACAGTTTGGCTGCTGCCATAGGCTGAAACACCGGGAGAGTTGTGAGCATAGGTTGTAGCAGCTGGTCCGTGATTATATGTAGCAACTGGAGATGCGTAGGAGACAGTTTTGGTTACTTCAGGCGCAACATGGCTGACAAGTGTAGGATTTGATTGATGATATACAACTGGAGAAGCGTGAGAGTAAACAGTGGCTGGATTATGATCGGCTGCGGTGTAGCTAACAGTTTTTTCAACAGCTGGAGACCCGTAAGTTAATGACTTTTCAACAACAGGAGCAGCATAAGATAATGTCCTCTCAACAGTTGGAGCAACATAGGCCAAGGTTTTTTCAACAGCTGGAGCAGCATATGTTATAGGCTTTGAAACTGCTGGAGCGGTATGTGTATAAACTGTTGGAGCAGGAGCTATATAGGTTTTTGTTACAGCTGGAGCAGCATAAGTAACACTTTTTGAAACAGCTGGCGCGGTATATGCAACACTTTTTGCTACAGCGGGAGCAACATAAGCAATAGTCTTCGCTGGAGCTGCATAAGTAACGGTCTTAGTAACATCGGGAGCCTCATAGCTTACTTTCTTATCAGCAGAAGGTAAAACGTTAGTATATAGAGCTGCTGTAGGTGCTGGAGCTGGAATTGTTTTAGTCAAAACTGGAGCAGCATATGTGAACGTTTTCTGAACAGCTGGAGCAGCATAGGTAACTGATTTAGCTACTGCTGGTGCTGCATATGCAATAGTTTTAGCTAAAACAGGTGCAGCATGAGTGTAGATAGCAGCAGTTGGTGCAGCTTCGTGTTTGGTATAAACGTTAATAGATGGTTGCACGTAGTTTTTTGTTATAGCTGGAGCGGTATATGCCACTGTTTTTGGTGCATAAACATTGTTGCTGATGCGAGTATCCTGTTTACGTACACTTGAGTACGGTGTATCAACCGATTTGGAGTAACTCGATACAGTACCTTCAAAAGAACGAACCACATTTTCCTGTGTGGAAGCAACAGCGTGTGAGTTTGCTTTGGCGTAAGCGTCATTCATGTTTTCGGTTGCGACCGGCGTTGCGGCGTAGGTGTTCGGTGTGAATAATACTCCAGCATTGGCAATAGCCAACAATGAGCAAAGTAAAATGAATTTGAATGCCATTTTTAAGTTAATTTCGAGAAAAATAAGTTTACTGTTGATTGTTTTATGTTGTGAACTGTTTTATGATCGATTCGAAACTGTTGCCAAAATTGCCAAATTCATTTGCTTTTATACAAAACACATCGAAACACATTGCAGGTTTCGAACGCTGTGACTACCTGCTTTAAATTTTACACGTCACTATGTAATCATAAAAATTGGCGTTATTTAATGAGCTTAATGATTGTGTTTTGGAAAGCCTAGTTATTTAATATTTTTTTCTTTTTAACGAAATTTCAAACTTTTTTATTTCTGCATTCTCTTGTTAAAAATTCGCTATAATAATTATTTATTTAGCTTAATTTTAAGAGGATAATTCATTGTCTTTTTGTGGTTCTAAATGTTTGTAGATGAGGAAGGAGGGAATGGGATTTAATAAATTGGAAACATATATCTTTTTGATGTTATGTATACTTATATTCAAATAGCATGCTTCTGTTCTCTGCTGTTTGCTGTAGATATCTGGTTGTATTCAAATACTTTTTATATTAAATTTATTACATTAATGATATTATCAGGTCATTTCTGGCAACAATCTTTCAGCTCACCACATTTAAAAATCTAGCGAATGATCATTTGAATCATCTTTGGTATTCTGGCAGCGGTCTTTTGCTAAACTGAAAGCGCCCTTCGGTGTTTTGAAAGACCAAATGAAAGATCTGCTATTGATCAGGTCTTTCGGTTGTCAGCTAAGATTTTGTTTGTGTTATTCGTGTATAATCTTTTTTTTATAAAATAAAATATATAAAAATTGAAATAAAAATGAATAATTAATTACTTAACTAAAATTTGTAAAAATAGAACAAATATTTCTAACTTCATTTTTAATAAAACGTAGACGTAAATATATTGATATACTATACTGTCTTTATAAAAATTTTAAAATATATATTTTATATATTTTTGAAGTAAGTATTAGTGTTCCTGAAAAATCTACTCTTACTTTATATGGTGACAAAGAAGCTATATTCAAAGAAAGAAACAATATTCAAGAAACTATATTCTAAGCCTGACATTTGCAGTCCAAAGAAATTATATACGGACTATAAACTAATTAAAAATTCGATTATTTCCAAAGACCACTGATGATGTGGTCTTTGTTCTTTCTTTCTTTCTTTGCTATTCGAAAACCTCTATATTTTATATATTTATTTATAATATATTTGTTTTTTTAAATATATAAATTCTAATATTTAATGAATTTTATTAAGCATTGATTTATTCATCTGTTTATTTATTTATTTCTACATATTTAAGCCATAATTTTCAAACTTCCATAACTCGAAGTACAATTTTGCAAAGAAAAGGTTCGATTTATGGAGACATCGAGTTAGAGAATTTATTTATTTTTTTTTATTTTTGAAAGATACTAGAATTATATTTTAAGATATTTATTTATTTAAAATCAAATGCAGCACAGAAGTTATAGTGAAGTGAAACATTCAGAAATTAGGGTTTGGGACTTTAATTTTTTTCTTATTTTCAGTAAAAAGAGATTCAACTTTATTCATACTTTTATAGTGATCATCAGTTCGGAAAGAATAGGAGAACGAAAGCTATACTGAGATAATCTACTAGGGCGAAATTGATTGAACGCACGAAGCAAAAATAATTTAAGTATTTGTCACAGGAGTTCTGACAGAGTACTGTAGGTTATACTGTAGATTACCTTAGTAAACTAGAATATTACTCTAAACGAATTTTTTAGATTCATTAGAGTTCAGAACATGTTCCGGAAGATTGTTCAGCATTAATGCATAGGCGAAAGAAGGACCGAACTGAAGTTGCTTTATCAGATAAGGAAATAAATTTTTATAATGTGGGTTTAATGCTATAATTTATAAAGAAAGTTTGACATAGATACGAAATCTAAGTCCATGAAGTGTGCACAATATATCTCTATGCTCCACTGCAACATTCTAATATACTATCAATAATGAACAGCTATAACTAGGTACAGTTGCAAACAATTTATAATTTTATATTGTCCTAACATTAAAAGTACTGTGTTTTTGCATGTAAATTGTTGTGAGCATAATTTATATTTTCAACATAAATCAACGCTCTGTTATGCTATTTTATATATTTCTCTAAATTTTACAGGAAACAAATTTTACGATTATGTCTATGTAATTAAAATTAACATCATTGATGAAAATGTTCATAAATTATTTTAAAGAATATTGTTGGATTTTAGCTGTTACTATATATATTCACGATACTAATAATTTAAAAAATTTTCGCTTTATTTTAAATTCTAAAATATTTTTTGGCTAAAAATCAGTAATTAATCAGTCTAGTTATTTGAACCACTAGGAAACCATATAGAAATGTGGCTAAATGCTCTGCAGGAGAAGAATTTAAAGAATTCTCATCCCATAATTTTGTTCTGAAAAATATTTTATTTTCACCAAATATGTTGTTTTCCAATAAGCTTTCTTAATGAAATGGATTAAAGCTAGTCTTTATATATATTTTGGAAAAATATGGCATGTTATTTCGACAGTAGTATCACTAGCATAGCGATAAAAATTTGGTTGATCATAGTCTTGTTATCGGTTATTTATCATTCACATGATTTATAATAAATCGTTGTTGAAAATAATAATAACATTTACTTAACATTTTCATAATATTATTAAAAAGCACAGATTCTATTCCGAATAATAAGTATAAATGAAAAGGTATATAAGAAATAAGAATTATGAATATATTCTAGACCGTGTTTTTCAGAACTTAATATTATAGTATTTTTTCAATTTCCTTGCTCAGCATGCCAAGTTTATTTAATTCGTTTCTTAACTGGCAATTAAACAAAAATATTTGAGCATAACCTAGCAAAACTGGGCAGACGAATCAGATCTCTAGTTTGACTTGATCGAAATTGGACAAAATATGTATTTCAGTCAGCTACTTTAACAAAGGCGGAATCTACTCAGCTCTACGGTATCGGTACTGACGGGCCAACTCGTAATAGGAAAGCGTGCTATAAGACTGGGTATACTGACTGGGTATACTGTTATGACTTTTGTCATGATAGCAGCTTTGATGATGAGAAGGAAACTATGCTCCATCTCATGTATAAGTTCCTATATTTAGCTAGGAGAAGATCTAAAATCTTCGGGGTCTCATTTTTTTCCAAGCTGTCATCTTGTAAAATTAGGGACTTATGCAAGTTTGTAGAACTGTCAGGTTTGTTCACCTTTTAGTCTATGTATGAACAAACACCATTCCTGTGATACCACAATTGGACATTATTTGAACTCAAGTGGGCTTTCTTGCATACAAAATCGCCCCTTCAATGTAAACCAACACAGTTCCTCAATTCCACTATCTCATCTGATTATTATAATTAATAATATCAAAAAAATTTTAGATTTAATTAAAAAGTATTGCACATTATTATATTATTTTTTAAATTCTTTAATATTAAAAATTATTCAACAACTTATGAATAAATAACAACTAAATATATTAAATTTAGTATGCCCAATGAGCACCGAATCCATCAAAGCTCACATGAGCAACAGTTTCAGCTGGTGAATAGGCGATGGCATGCTTGACTACAGCAGCAGGAGCAGCATGTGAGTAAACAACTGGAGCTGGAACAGCGGCAGCATAAGCAGCTACAGTTGGAACTGGAGCAACGAGAGTTTTTGTTACAACTGGTGCAGTATAAGTAACAGCAGGAGCTGCATAAGCGACAGTCTTGGCAACGGCTGGTGTGTAAACATTATTGGTAATACGAGTATCTTCCTTGCGGACGCTGGAGTAAGGAGTATCCACAGCTTTGGAATAAGTAGAAACGGTGCCACCAAAAGAACGAACAACATTTTGATGTGTTGTGCCAACAGCATCGATTGATGGTGTAGCGATTTTGGCTACCACTGGTGCGGTGGCATAAGCAACTGGTGCAAGTCCAATATTGCCGGCAGTGGCCAAAGCAAGGAGGGCACAAAGTGGAACGATGAATTTGAATGCCATGGTTAAATTTGCGGTTTTGGTTTAGGCTGTGTTCGGTGTTAATTTATTTAATTGAAAACGTTAACTGTTGTCAATTTGAGGTTTCGGCGGCTCTTTTATATGATTTGTGTGCATTGTTTGGCCGATTAGAGCTGAAATAGACTGCAAATATTGTCGCAAACTCCGTGCATAATTACCAAAATTCGTTACAATATTATGAGAAATTATATATCAATGCCACTGAATATAAGCTATTTTTTTTTTTTTTGGTTATATGCAAAATAATGTAATCAAAATTTTATTTATTTATGTGTAATGTGACTTACTGCCCTAGGCTTAATTTTGTCAACGAGCTGAACGGGTTTGGTTAGGGCATTTGTTTTTGTGTTTGATATAATAATTTTATTAAATAAGCAAATATTATATTAACAAATAAACAAAAGTTACTTTGTTATATTTGTATACAAAACTTGGAGTTTAATTTATTATTATTTATTTGGAGATAAGTTCTGTAAATGGTACTTATAACATATATTCTGATATCTTTATTCTGGAGCATATTTATGAGAAAACTTTTCGACACCTACTAATGAGAATATTGCTTCTGATATCAAGTTTGGAAGTTTTTTTTTTACTTATGCTCAACAAGAATTGTTTCTTTCCATTAAATTGGGCACAACTGAAGCTGCAAATGTGCCAAATAGAATAAGATAACTTCAGGAACGCCAACCCTTGGCAAAATTTATCAACGACTGTCAACTTCTATTCTCCCCCAAGTAAGCAAATATATGAAACCAAACTTTTTTGTTTATGATTTTTGGTATATTTTATTTTCGATAAGTTTTATGCATCATTTTTGCTTTCTTTAAATATGAGGACTTCGCAGTTATTCGGGATACTGTTCTTGTTTTTATTTTTACGGATGATGAATATTTATTAAAATTACTAAAGTTCGTCGAACTTGCCCGCTGTTTTACAAGTTCACTTCGAAGGTTTTAAATTGAATTGAGTTGGTGTCGTGGGTATCCTGACACTTAATTTATACAGAAATGCAGGCAACAAATATCTAAATACTTTCTCATTTTGGCAAATTGAAATTAATATGACTTCGGGGTGATTACTTTTGCACCACTCACCAACTCACCAACTTTGCATAATTTAGTGCTGCTCTTAAAAAGTTTGAACTGATTTTAAACATTTTGAAACCAAAAGTAAATTTTCACTAAATATGAAGTGTTATTTAACACATCATTTACTGTGACAGTAAACCAAAATATTCAAATTTGATGTGAGAAGCAGCGTTTATTTGTAACTTTTTAGTATCATTATTCATTTATGTATATTTATATCAATAAAGAAGTTTGTAAATACTTTTATATATGAGACACATTCCTGGACGGAGACACAGGAAGTGGTTGATAAGATTCTATCTTTTCTTCATCTTGGCAACTCCTGCACAATCCACTTGTTTGAACTCGCCAACGTTGGAGCATAGACACAATGACACAGTCCCCCGTTAGTACTCTAGTAAGTACACAAACTGCAGGTTTGCAGAAGCTTAGGCTTTTCGTTTTATTTTTGTCATCAGATTCTAGCAATTTCATAGTCTTCGTATCTAGCCCATAAATTATTAGTCACCGTAATGGTGATTTCCTGTATTATCCTAAACAGTTCACATATCGATGTTTGTATTGAGACGTCGGCCTCTCTTGTATGCAGTTCAGGACCTATGCTAGCCATCTCATCTGCTATAAGGAGAGACCTTGTGTTTTTTGATGAAATTATTGTAAAGATAGTAATCAAAATATTATTTTAAAATTTTGAGTGAAAATACTCCCTGACAGTTTAATAGGTATATTTTAATTTCAAGCACATTTCATATACAGTCAAACTCCCATACCACCAAGTACTATTTTGCTACGAAATTTTTCGGTTTATGGAGACTTTGAGTTAAAGAGTTTTTTGTAATTGTATCTAATTTGCTCTGTAAACCTTGTGTGGTTAGAGTTATAGAAAATTCGAATTATCAAATTTCTAGTTATGGAAGTTATGGGCTATATATGTAAATTTTTTATAACATTAACTTTTTTTCTCAACACAATGCGTCTTGAGAACTTCCGATTTTAATGCATTATAAAAAAAAAAGGTTCTTATATACTTTATTTTTTATTTACCACAACACACAAGTAATTTCATTTAACCATTTTAATCGTCAAACTTGAATGTCCTTAAAAGCTTACACCCTACAAATTTAGCCACTACACACAGCTTTGAGTTAAATAATGCAAATTTTATTACTGAATTTAAGGCGCATATCAAATAAAAATTACATTAAACAGCAGTGGTTATGTCAACGAAACAAATTTGAAATCACCCTGTATAAAAGGAATGACAAGTCAAGGAAGCGTGTAATTCCAGTTAATGATTTGGCATTTTACACCGGGAGCAGCACTGTATAATGGAATAATTTTTCAGGATTACCAGTAGTAATTGAATTCTATTTTTTAACACAGAAATTATGTAAATACCACAGATTTCCTGCACGAAAAAATAAATCAAAAGATTAAAGATGAAGAAGTAAACTGAATATGCCTTTTTATAAGGAGTTCCGTTCTTAATCATTAAGTTTCATATAATATATATTCATATGTATGTTTCACATTCAAATACTTAATTCTGTATTTTATTGAAATGTTTTAATGATGTCAATTAATTATATTATATATATATTAAGGACGTGTGCGAGTTGGGCTAAGTCGCGTTCTAAATGAGGGAAATTCTAAGTTGTGCCGATAATGTAGTGCTGTGTCGATACGTGTTGATAAATGGCTAAATGTGTGCAGTGCAAAAAATCTCAAAAAATCTCCCATTTAGTTTAGCATCAACTTAGCCCAACTCGCACATGTTCTAAGTATTAAAGTTTCGCGTGAATGTGAATAAATGCATGTAAAATTATTACTTTTGTATTTTGCAGTGTTCTTGGGCACAGAAATTATTTTAAAATTGAAAAATAAAATTATACTTAACCGATGATATCTGTAATTATCATGTATGCTACACACTTTTATTGAATTTTATATTTCAATAAATATTCACTTCTAATATTCTAAACTTACTAAGTTGTTTGGTTTTGTCCTGCCCCACACTCAAGTGAAACAAACCCTTTATGGGAATAAAATTTTAATTTCATAAGTGAAATTTAGCAAACTGACATATTTGATCGAGTTCCTAATCATGCCTCTATAAAAATGTAGTACATTAATTAAATTCGAATATTAATCTCTCTATTTATTTAATTATTTGTATTAAATTGATTTTTAACGTACGTTTTGAGGAAAGAATTTAATTTCTTGATGTAAACTATTGTTTTGAATAGAGAGGTATTTCGAACAGTATTAAATTACAACAACAATATTTTTATATATATAATTTAATTGAATTTTTGACTGATCGTACCGCTGTTTTCGAGTATTGTCAAATACCCATCATCAGTGGTTTTGGCATTACTTATTATATTTAACTATACGTAAAAAACTATTTGTGAAACTACAAGTATCAATGGTTAAACGCGTGCCCTGCCAAATTTGAAACTCAGAGTCAGTGTTCACTAGCCAACTGACCCAAAGCCATACTTGACTTGCATGTGCGAACTTGGAGTTTTTTTGTTAATTTGCTTAGAAAGTTTACGAACAAATCAAGCGAATTTGTGTTATATTAGAACGAAATCACAAACCAGCTGTAGAATAATTGAATTAATTAATTAAATTTTTTGTTCTTATTGTATAATTTCAATACAATTGTTTTACTATATACATAGAGGCATTATTTATGACCATTATTATTATTGTTAGGGGATGTGGCACTGCGACCGTCGAGTCTATTGTGCCCACTTCTGGGTTTAGAGTAGGTCTCTAAGCCCTGTGGTATCAATAAAAAGTAGTATAGAGCCTACTTTACATAGTTTTATTGCTTCTTCCTTAAGAATATTCATTCTCAGGAGCCTATTCCGTATGTGCGTTAGAGCAGAGCATTCAAACAGCACATGTGTGACGGACTCCTTATTCTATTCACAGAATCTACAGTTGGCATCTGTAAGTATACTCAGTTTTTTAAAGTGGTGTTTTAGTTTACAGTGTCCTGTTAGGATTCCTGTGATGATTTTAAGTTTTTCTTCTGATAGGTTCATACAATCCGAACTATTTATGACTATTTATTTAATGATTTTTGTAACAAATTTTGTCGTGGTTGTATTATTTGCAATCCATCAGTCTTTTTCTGATTTATATTACATATTTAATGATGTGACATTGATTTAAGATATTTATCTGTAAATTAAATTCAAATAATACATTTTTTCGTACTTAAAATGCTGGAATCATCTTGCGAATTTGTTTTGGAATTTTTAATCAAACAGTTGCCATTAATTACTTGAAATTCTTAGCCACATTACAAACATTTTTTGCAGCTCCTCACGATTTTTCTGCTCCTTTTTCATTTCATATACAAAAAAACTGAAGCGCAAAGCCACACTTTAGCATGTGGTGGAGTAAAAGCGAAAAGTAGTTGGCTTAGTAGGAAATATGTAAATGCCAGCCAGCAGCCAAGTTCCTTACTGCAACTTTATGGGGCAAATAAGAAAAAAATACCGAGCAAACCACAGCGTTGCATAAAATCGAGTGGGTAAAAATCAAATTAGGTGCAAACAAGCAGAGATGCCATGTTAACTGCTTGACTGCCTGACTGCCTCAGTGCTTGATGCCAGCCATTGGTAGTAACTCCTTGCTCCTTGCTACTTGGCTCAACGTGTCAGTGGCAAGAACACAAAAACATAAAAACGCGTTGTAATGAATAATTTATAATAGTTGAGAAGCTTTTACGGAAAATTAAAGTTTTGAGGTTTCATAAAGAAAATAGAAAAATCCATAATATTAATGCTTAGTTGAGAGGAACTACATCCACAAGCAGCTTTTATTGTGAAATTAAAAATAAATAAGAGTGAAATTAATGTAATTTGTATTAGATTACTTAGCATATAATATTTAAAGAATGTTACTATATATTCATTAATTTTCTTACACAAGCAAATACATTTTCTATGTGATGCTATTAGCATTGTACATGCGGAAACGGAAACTGATACTCGTGTTCAGAACACCACGAATCTTTCGTTCATATGCACGCTTGTTAATAAATTTATGTATGGAAGTTCGCTACAAACGCCGAAGAATTCAATTTTATACTCCAACTG